ATGTTCGTACGAACCTTTTGTACGAACAAAAGTAAGAGAAATTTAGGAAAAAAATACAAACATGTTCTTGCATGAGGCCCATTGTTCCAAAAGCCTCGAGGTTTACAGAGATGCAATTTAGCATAAAGGGTGAACTTAGCCAAAATGGAAAAGCTGTCTGTGGAAAAACTTTGATTCTGCACAATAAAAAAAAGTTGTTAATCTGTTCCGCTTCATCACACTTGAAGATTTTAATTATGTCCTGACATGTAAAACACAAGGAGAGGACTTCCTTCTTCTCATGACTGCATGGGATTTTGAGATGTAGTGTCAACTTGCCTCCTTGTTCGATGTCCGAGTCGGTGAGGTGTGTGAGAGAGAAGCTGGCGATGCTCGCCGGCGAGATGGAGAACCGGGAGTAGGCTGAGGAACTGCTCCAGCTGGGCTCCAGCACCCGCCCGACTGCAGGGGCCGTAGAGGAGATCACCTTGGAGAGGGGTTCTTTATCCGTCTTGGGCAGGAAGGCTGGGGCGTGGGAGGTGAAGTCATCGTCCCATTCGAAACCACCACCTGCAAGAGTTTGATGGAAATGTCCAAATGTGTAGTGCCTCGATAAGGAGCAGGTGTGCAGATCAGGATGTTTTGCCGTTACCTTCTTCATCTGTGGAACTTTCAGAGTTGGCAAAGCGGTTCAGGTAGCTGGACGTGGACACGGGGCTGCTGATCTCTGGCACCTGGCTGCTTGAGCCGGACGAGTGGTCGCTCAGTTCCTTAGTGGGGGTCTCCTAAACCACAGAGAAATAGAAAATAATTTACATTCCACTTTGACAAAATAACAAATATAAACCTTTGAGAGGAGTCTTAAATCTTATTTAATTCTTTACCTGGTCGAATAGGTAGACTGTGACATCGTCAAAGAAAGACACAGATCTTCTGGAGTTCTCTGCATTTCTCCTCTCAGAGAACGGAGGAGTCGATGCTTCGATGTTCAGGGTTGTGGGTTTCAGCAAGCTCTTCAGGTTTTTTGCACTGCTGTCGTCTGATATCACAACAGGCACCGGGTGCACGGTTTCATCCTCGCTGTCTGAGCTGGAGCTGTTCAGCTGGTACGCCCGCATGTCGTCATCAGAGTCGTCGCTGTTCTCGTCCTCCTCGTCGGCATCCATGCCATCTTCCAGTCCATCTAAACCCGAACCATCCCGCCTCCCCAGGTATCGGCCCTCCATGTCTGGCTCTTTGATTTTATGGCCATCTGTGGCGTACGTCCTGGTCAGCTTAGCGTGAACTGGGCCCTCCGGGGCTGGAACTGATATGGTTGCAGAAGGCAGAGTCGAGGTTTCTGGATCTTCTGATGGACTCAGATGATCTGGRTTTGTGTTGAAGAGCTTTGGTTCATTTTCATCTTTGCTCTGGTTGTTGATAGATTCCTCCACCTCGCTCTGGTGTTTCTCTGGAATATCTAAAACCATTTCTGGATCTGTGTCCTCAACGTTGACATCAGTTGTTCCCCCGAGCTCAGAATGTACCTTAGCAGCTACAGACGGTTCTTGCTGAGAAAATAAAGTGTCTATATCTCTTTCCTTGTTGTGTTCCAGAGCTGCACCTTCTGAGTTCCTCAGCCAWGTGACTTCAACGACGTTTCCTGCCGTCGTTTCTTCAGACTTCTTCTCAGTTTCTGATTCATTGTCAGAGAAGTAAGCAGAGTCCCGATAATTGCTACCTATAGGTGGTTCCTCTGCAGGAGCTACATGATCTGGCTGCTGATCCCCATCGAGATCCTCACCGGGAGTAATCAATACACCCTCTACTTCAGAGATRATTATTCTCGGTGGAACCAAATTTGCAGAAGCGGTGAGCTCTTCTGACTCTTCTTCTTTGGTAGTGCTGATGCCATTTTTCACAGGAGAGCTGTTCTCAACATTTGGCTGAGAGTTCCACTCAGGAGACTCCAGGTTCTCGGTCTCATACCCGCTGTCTGATATTTTATAAGGAGGCTGAAGTTTGTCTTGAGGTATCCGAGCAGTCAGCTCCTCTCCTTGTTCCCCCAACCTATGGATGTCGAGAGAGTCCAAAGAGTCTGGCGTCTCGGCTGCATTGTCTATAGTTGGAACAGTGGTAGACATACTGTCCTCCAGTAGACTGTCCTGGCTGATCTGATCTAAAGATGGACCAGATACCAGAAGAGAAGATCTTCCAGGAGCATGTCCATTACTTCCTATGAAGGATTCGTCATGATCAGAGAGATTTGTTTCCATATCTAAATCTGCGTCTTCAATCAGCTCGCTCAACAGATCATTACTTGTTAGGTCTTCATTCTGTCCATTTTCTGAGGATGACGCGTGAAACATGTTTTCAGATATTTTAGTTCCTGTAGCTTTTGAGGCTTCAAGGTCATCTTCAAGGCTGGAAATTTTGGCATCTGTGCACAATGAGTCTGTAATGGCACTGTCAGAAAATGTAACAATGGGCTCAAACCTCTCAGAGGTAGAATCAAAACCAGAGTCTATACATCTGTCTGAAGACGGCAGCAGATTGAGGCTTTCAGTAGAACCATTTCTAACTGGCTGCTGGTCATTCGTGGTATCAGCTGTGACCACCGTAATGGAAGGCACCAGAGTTTCGTTTCCTACCAGAGACTGGTGTATCTGCTCCAAGTTGGTACTCTGAGAGTCTAAAAGTTCGTGTGTTGAGAATGTGCTACTTGCTGCAGGTTTAAAGTATGCATCTGCTGTGTTTAAGCTGCCTGAAGACTCAAGGTTGTCCCAAGAATTCATTCTGAATGCTTCCTCTGGCTCATGGACTGTGCCAGGTAAAAGGAAATTCTGCTGGGAGCTTGGGAAGCTGGAGCTGTCTTTCATCAGGTTCTGGTCTCGGAGAAACTCAAAGTTATCAGCTAGCTTCTCACTATTGAAAAGCCTCTTTGCATCTGTGTCCCCCCCATCCCGTTTCAATGAAACCAACAGGTGAGGGGGAACCTCTAAAAAAGAACCTCCAAAGCTATGACTTGGATCCACGTTTTGAACCTCTGAGGCGCCTTCGTGGAAAGGGTTCCCACTGCGCTCTGGAAGCTCCAGAAAATTTTGTCTCCACGACGGAGAGTCCTCGTGTTTCGACCCATCTTCAGTGAAAATGTTGGTGTGGTAAGGACTGTCATTTTCAAGAGATGACCAGATGTGGCTGTCAGGTAAATATGAGTCCTTTGAGTCAATGCTTTGGTGGAAAAAGTCTGCATCCGTGCTAGACTCATCCAGGCGGGCATCCTGAAGAACAACAAAATCTTTATGATTTGTAGAAAAGTCCATGTCTTGTCCTTCGTTTCCATCTTCCCCAACAGCACTCTCCCCTTGTTCCTCTAGCTGTATGTAATACTCATTCCCATTGGAGGACTTTTGTGGATCAAACACAGGAACAATGCCAGGAATTCCAGACGGAGTGTTCCCATTTTCTGCTCCTCCTGCTCTGGTTGAAGGATCTGGGAAATGAGCCTGGATGTCTTCCCTGGAAGCAGGAAAGAACATGCTGTGGTAGTTCAGGGTTGTGTCCATGCCTGAACTGCCGTGATTGCCATCGTAGTGGTCATGCTTGGCGGCCTCCCAAACATACTCAAAGCTAAGACCTTTGCTTGTTTCGGTGACAGTTAGAACTTCGTCTAGCTCTTGTCGCAGGGCGTCATCAGCAAACTGTTCCAAGATTGGRAAAGAGGAATGGCTAACAGTCTGTCGTGTGGATGTGTTAGGCTTGAGTGCATCCCAGCGTTGCTCAAAGTCTTCCTCTATGTCCTTTTGGCCTTGCATGCGGAGATAGATGAGCAAACGATGTACTTCCTCTGCGGTGGCTCGCCTTTCTGGAGATAGCCAACAAAACTGCAAGACCTCATACCTGCAGTTAGACACAAAAAAAGAGACATCTTTTTTAAAGTCTACATTTTCTTAAAGGAAACCCTGACAAGTTGTAACATTGTTTGATCAACATTTACTTCAAATGTAAAACAAAGACAGCAAAAATACTGTAACAGTTAAAATTTTTAAAATTTCTAATGAATGATGGTGCAAGGTCTATCCCCCCCTCTATCAATGGCAGCTTAGCTTGTTATCTTTGATGTTAACACAAAAGCTAACAGGCTAAGTTGTGGTTCTTCTTGCATGAAGCAGCTCTACTATCCTCCATCCATATTTTCATCTGCAGGCTGAGTAATTTCTACCTTCTCCTCTCTGTCAACATGCTCTGGTTTCATTTAAACTGGCTGATCATCAGATATTGTCTAAGATTAACCTTCAGGGTGGACAGAGCTTGCCCACAGCCTCACACCGGAGGGTAAAAAAATGCTTTGCATGGGCGGAGAACCAAGTAGAACTTCATCATTTACCTACTTTGCTTTGTGGCTTACATAAAATGTTGTTGTCCATGTGTATATGTGTGTGTGTGTATATATATATATATATATTTATATATATATTTATATTTGATAGAAATTAAACAGCCTTCAGTATTTTTACAGTCGGTGTTTTACATTTGAAGTAAATGTTTATCAAATAATGACTAGTAGAAGACATTATAGTCGGGTTCACTTTAATAACTTTGAAATGTCTGGAACAAAAAATATAAAAAATGTTTTAAAAAACTCACCATCTATCAGAATAAGGAAGCTCTAGTTGTGGCTTAAACAGTTTGACTTGTTGCTCYTTGATGACATGGTTCAGGACCTCCCGGTCAGACAGGTGTGGGTACGGCTGAGCTGCATTCTCAAACAGCTCCCATAACGTGACCCCTAAGGCCCTATAAACAAACAAGGAAGAAACAGCTGATGAGGTCAAGTGCAAGGATGCAATAAATGGGATGTGTTGGAAATAAATCAAAAGACCCTTAAGTCTATTCACTTTCACAAGGGTGGTCAAATAGTTATGACTGATGAGTGCACATATGTTTGCRTTTGTTTCAGGGTCACACACAGCCCACACTCATTATCTGTTTATGAAAATATCCTGGGGTTAGCTGATATCTTGTACCCACCACACATTGCCAGGCTTGGTCTGCTCCAAAGTGACGACACCCCCATGACGCTCCCCAACCAGCTCAGGAGCCAACCACCGAAGAGGTGCAAACACATCGTCCTCTGTGATGATGTAATCCTCCTACAGAAACAGATACACTTCTTTAAAGACACTGATCGTTTTCTTCAAGTAAAACTTCACACAGTTATAGAAAAACTATAAAAAGCACTATAAGGAGGAGAAATCAGTCTGTGTTTGAGACAGCACATCCCGACATTGCCTCTCCCTTTTCTTACAGAAATAGATCCACTGGGTGACCTTCTCTTATGAGTATTAAATTCAGACGGCTGATCTGACAGCTCAGCAGTATTTCAGGAATGCAGCAGATCCAGCGACTTAGGACATACGCAGCATGTTGAGTTACAAAGGAGGATAATCTGAAGTCTTCATTGAAATTAACCTTGTGCTTATCAAAGACACACTTTCAAAAGAAAAAAGATTTGTTTTTGAGACCATCTGGAGGCCTAAAAATACCAAAACTTGAGAAATGCATTAGATTTAAAAGTAGATTAATTTTAACCCTCGCTGAGGAACATTAGGATGAACACTGGGGATCAAACTTGGGACACGTCTTAGACCAACTGATAACACATTTGTTTGTTTGTTTTTATCTGGCCAAAGAATAAGTACAATTATAATCTTTAGATGCCTTCAGTGCAATCTGTAAAGTGAAATATAAAACTTGTTGACCATCTAAATATATAACACCTTTGCAAAAACAACTAAGTTGATTTTTTAGAGGATTTGGTTGATTCAGCTGCATCATTAAGCACTGCAGTACCTGAGTTTTCCTAGAGCTGGGTGACTTTTGTCTTTTCAAGCCGAATTAGCTAAATTATACAACAAATCAGGAAACGACTTGTTCTTACAGCRCATGCCACACTAAAACACATGCTATAGACAGACTTTGTAATGGGTAATGACACACAAAGTTGTTTTTTAACAAGCTTTTCCACTGAAGGGAAAACCTACAGCCAACGCCTCCTCCAAAAATTACAGTTTTGAATACATTTCAGCCATTGCAGTTTATCTTGAAAAGATAATGTGGTGGTCAGTGGTGAGCTCAGCTTTACTGCCAGAATGCATGTATCCCCTCCACCAATAATCTATTGAACCAGTGAAAAAAAAAAGAAAGATCACAGGCTAGCAGAATAAGCAGCAGCATCACGTCTTTGTACCTGAAACCTTTGTTACATTAAAGTTTATTTTTAGCTGCAAGATTTGGTGAGTAAAATTTAATTTACTGCATTTCCTTTGTGGGCATGTTAATTTTTTAAAGCAAAAATGTGAAACAGCAAAGGTCCTTAATTAAAAAGCGGCAGCTGAGATTAGCTCTCATTAAAACTGATTTCTCTGCTTTCAAACGATGTGTTGTGCTGACACTTGTGCTATATTAATTAGCTCTAAAATAAGGAAAGGTTGGGGGAAGCATGACTTGGTGGCAGATATTCAAAGATCCCATCCCTGTTAGGCACAACGTCTTCGATATTTTTAAGCTAAATTGAGCAGATACAGTTTRTTCCAGGTAAATGTCATCAGTTTTACAATGGCCCCTTTCTCGTGACAAGATTCTGAACAGTGACGCTTTACTTTGCTTACTCAAATAAATTAATAAGCTGATGTTTGTGCTTACTTTGTATCTGTAGGGTCCGATCCCATAATCACCCACTTTGACTGTGAGATCTGCAGTCAGGTAGCAGTTCCTCAGGGCCAGATCACTAGCAGAGCAAAAAGGAAAAACATCAGCATTAATTACTGAGTGGGTTAGATATTTCACAAAAGGTAGCAGCAAAGCTTTTACTGCTTCTAGACAATAGAAATGCAGGGATTWTTGTGCACACAGTTGTAATGTTTTACTGTTTGTTCTTTTGTGTAAAGGATGCATGTTGAAGTGTGAGATCACAAAACAGGAGGCGAGGCGGGGGGGAGAGAGAGAGAGAAAGAGAGGGAGGCAGAGAGAAAAGTCTGGCAGGGATCACAAATGATTAAAGCATCAACAGGAAATTCATATAGAGTCTTGTCATTTCCTCCTGCTCATCGCATTGCAACACGGGGGCTATTCTTGACTCAAGCATACAACAACAGGGGGGACATAGTTTCTGGAGGGTGGGGAAACAAACTGAGGAAGGTTTGTTGGTCTGCCAGGAGAGGGCGTAACAAGCTCTGAGACTCTGCACATTAAGACACACAGATGGGGGTTCATTCATTCAAGAGGCAGGCTTTGGTTTCCTTTTGCTCCTGCAGGACTGATGGTACACCAAGTCCTTTTAAAACCACCCAATGACAAACACTGCTGACACTAGTATCYTTGTGCACACATGGCCCAGCTACTGTCAGACCCACTAGAACCTCTGTAAAATACATGATGGTGTATTTTAAAACACTCCTGTCCTATGTTGTAGTGTAACATTTGAACATACAGTAAAGCACCAGAAGGAAACATAGTTCTGATKAATAAAAAACTTGGAAGGGATCACAAGGGTTTGTAGATGTCTAGCTACCTTCTACTTTCCTTTACCTGCTTTTTTGTTCATTTTAGATCTGTTAATAATTACTAAATAATACAATTTTACAACAAAACACATTTCACATTTAAGACAGCCATTCTGTGTGACTTTATATTAAAGGTACAACAGAGCAAAAAAAGGGAAGACTTTTGACCAGCAGCAGGTGTATTTGAAGAGAACAACCTAAATGTTGCAAAACTGAAAATGATCCATTATTTAGCAAGTTTAAAGCATATCAACAAAACAAAATGACTCAAAGAAATAAAATCAGACTAATTTAGCCATATAAACAAACATAGAGATTTTTGAAATAAATCCCTGGTTTTAGACTGGATTAAAAGGCACCTGTGTCTAAGACAGGACGCCACTTGCAAAGTGCAATACCACTTATTGTTACCTAYTGTTAATAATACTTCACAACATCCCATAAAATACCAAGTGAATGATTTTCCCMRAGTCTAGAATGTAATTAGCTAGATTTAGTTTTGATCAGTTCGCTAAAGTTACAGTTGAAATCAACCTCATCAATAAACAAGGCCTCAGACATTCCTGTTTTACCCAATCAGGTTTCAAATGTCACTCTGCAGCTCCACCGTTTTGACCAAATATGGTCACTTCTGGTTGCAAAACGATTGAGACAGTGACGAGTGAATGCCAAAGTCAAGGTTTCAAATGGCARCTGGAAAGCCAGAGGGTGACATCATGCAGAAAATCCCTTCTTTGTCATAAAAAAAAAAGTAAGAAAGAAAAATAAAAACATCTTGGAAACATAATTTTACTGATTGTGAAGCTTTTAAAAACCAACGAAAGAAGTTTTTGACCAAGAACTTAAATGACTCCTAACTATTTAATCTATAGAGTTAAATTAAATATATAAAAAGAATTGAACTATTATCATTTCTGAAGAACATTTTCTAGACGTAGCACGGTGCTCATTGGGTCTTCTGTAGATACATTCTCCCTCCTGCGTAGCAATGCTGAGGTTTCAGCCTGGGCCATCAGCTCACATTGAACACACCCAGGGGAGCTTTGTGTTCCTGTTAGTGCACCACAAACAACCCATCCCTCAAACAGAGCTGGCAGAATGCGCCTGTACTCCTAATCATCCAGTTTACATTACTTTTTTTTGTTTTTCAAATATAAAGTGCCAAAGCATTTTTTCCATGAGTTCATATAAAATTAGTCCACACAGAAGGACGTTTGCAGAACTCTGAGCTGTAACAAGGATTCAAACACAACGCCCAATATGAGGATATCCATTTACATGCAAAGAGCAGAATCATCATATCCCTCTGGCAGCGGACAGCTGACACTGTGGCAATGCATGGGAGCTGTGTAATTGGAACTCTTCGAGCTTATTCTGAGCATGCAAAATAGAGCTGATGAGCTGAGCATCGTATGTTACCCCCGAGCGACGAGTTCCCAACACCCCCTGCTGGCTGCTGGCCAGACATCCAGTACTTGCCGGGGTGAAAATGAATATGAAATGCAGCCCCTCTGCCGTACGCCCCTTTTTTGGAGAACGCTGGTCCTCGTGAGACTGGTTGGACAGTCAGCGTGCAAGTAAAACTAACAGATGACCCACATCTTCATAATGGTTTCATACAACGTTTATGACCGTGTACACAGATCATGACAGTCTCTTTAAAAATTTATATTTGTTCCGCAATAAATCAACCAGACGCTGATACTTTGTATTTATGTGGTGTCAAATTATTTATGTAATTACATAAAACTTGACAATGAGCTTTTTTTAATTTCCACCACTTTTTTAAAAATTAAAAATATATTTTCTTGTGATACAAAACATTTTTTGTGTCTAATGCCACCGACACCTGTAAGCATTTTCTTAATTGTGTGATCAGCTGACTTAGATCCAAACTAACTAAGTGTGGCAGTTCTGAAGTGCTACCTGTGCAGGAAGTTGTGTTTGTGAAGGTGCGTGATGCCAGCAGCAATTTCACAGGCCATCCTCTGCAGCTGCAGCAAGTCAGCGTTTCTGAACGTCCAGTCCTGCTGAGACAGAAAGATCCGCAAATCCCCCTGAAAGGCAGAAACACACAGCACAATYAGCCCACCAACATCAAAACTAATCCAGCTGAAAAGTTATGTTATTATTGATAAAAAAGGAGTCTTATTAAAATGCAATGWGTAGAAATCGCCACACGGGAGCAGCACTCCCCCCCTCGTCCTGTCTTCTCAGCACTTCTGATGATGTGAGGCCGAGCCAAATAAGGGTAACAGCATTTAGTTCAGCTCTGTGCCGTGAAACAAATGTGGCATATTTTCCTGATCTGAGTCATGCTCAGATCAGGAAAACACATCCTGCCGGAATTATAAACCAGACGTATTTACGCACAAACACTGAACAACAAACTGTGACGACAGCGCAGTGAGGAGTCAATCAGGAAGAGCACTGGGAACAAATGGTTAACCTCTGGGCAGACTGTCAGAGTGGCAGTAAATATGAATTTCAACACTATGTCAGCTATGTGCCGCTTCACATGTGTGACTGTCATTCAGTAAAATGTAACAGAATGTACTGCCCACACATTATAGCACACTGTACAATTTACAGTTTTATGTCTCCCTGGTTAAAAGGCAAAGGCTTTACGATTGTGTGCACGTTACACAAACTGTGGGACATTCCAGATCAGCCACCATCTCTACCCTGAGGAATGAGCTACTAAGACACACAAGTCTGTAGAGAGTTTGTGTCGCTTTAGTCCGAGACCGTGTGCGTCGGGGGTTTGTGTGCGTTTATGATTACAAAGAGTTTGCTTTCCCCCCAAGCTATTTCTTTACAAGCAGCTTAGATCCATCATCTTACGTAAGCGCTATTCCACTTGCTCCATCCAAACTCACACCTGCATAAACACACACAGAGAGACACACACCATCCCCACACAGCTCTGGGAAGGAGTCTTTACTGAAGAGCTATATTCAAGTTATGGTAAACGACACCGTGTGCCTATATTTATTTGGGAACGCTTGCAGCGGGAAAATGAGTTTGGGTTCTAGGAAATTGTTGTTGTTAAAATACCGAAAAACAAATAAATTTAACTTTGTATGTGGCCAATGAATGACAAGAACGTGCATAACGCAAGTCAACCTCATCTGATACATTGTCAAGCATTAAAAAAAATAAATAAAAACAAGATATTTTTAGTAGTGGTTCAGCATGCTGCTTAGAGATACTAGAGGCAGGTCATTCTGTAATTACTATTAACCTATTTTCTTAAGGGTCAAGCACAGTTACTGGGTCACTGAAAGCTGCCAAAAACTATTATTACTGTTAGTAAAGCCAGTTAAATTAGGACCAATTATTCTTAAGTGGCCAAATTCACTGGTTTATTGCTGCAAAATGAGTTATCTTCAAAAACTTAACCCAGCTGTCCCAGAGACTAATGTTTCAACCCTAACTGAAAATTTGAATGCATTTACAAAATGTTTATAGTTAAAAAAACAACTTTAAATTTTCACAAACAATATAAATAATCCTCCAGTTTATTAGAAGTATTTAAAAAAAAAATAACTGAGAAAGGAATTTCAGTATTTTTTTAAATAAAATTATTTCTTCTTTTTGTGGTATTTTTTTTGCATTCCCCAAAACCTAGCATATTATCTCAATTACAGAATTTTTACAGACCATTTTTTCCTACTAGTCTGCAACATAAACTAAACTGAATCAATGTCCAACAGTAAATTTGTTATGGAAGAAAAAATGTAATTAGATGCGTTAGAATTTTAAAGACACTAGATATACTTGTAATGTAATTATAGACACTCACAATCTGATGACAGCAGCAAACAAACCAATAAATTTTTATTTACGTTCGTCCCCTGATTGTAGATTACAGGTCTCACAAAGTACGTTGGGTTTCAAAACACCTCCTGTTTAAGCGGCAGCTGRTAGTTAAATAGAAACTCTGTCTCTATGTTGATGTAGAAAATAACACGTTCTTGAGTCGGCTCATACTTCTTCTGACTTCCTTTATAAACATCTTAAACATGTTACAAATAACTCATGTTGAGTCACAGCAATGATAATTTGCTAGCAAAGTTTAGCTGCAGTCTGTTTTAGGAACAAAAATAAATAAATAAAAAAGTGAGATTTCCGAGCGTCTGATCGGTATTTCAAGCTAAAAAAATGTCCGATTTCCGTCACTAGCCTAATTGCTGCATCACTAATATATTCAGTGATCAAAGCGCTTTGACTCAGGTTTCCCAGAATAGAAACCCACATTCAATCAACAACGTGTACGTCACAGCAGAATAGCTTTTTGGGGACTCACCTTGTCCACTGTGCAGCTGCAGAGTCACATTTCATGTTTGGACATCTAGTCGTTGACTGATAAGGCCTCAGTGAGTAAGTCGTTATCAACAAGACATCTTTTCCTCACCRTCCACACAGAAGCACTTGTTGCAACACGGTCACTTTTAATCTACATCTTTAAGCTAAGAGAACAGACGTGTTCAAAGAAAATAACCGCTTTTCGTCTGCGTCCAGATCTATCTTCAAGCCCTCACAATTATTTATCCAGCAAGAGATAACAAGCATAGGCATCACTCAGTTGTGCTCCCCTCACACATTATCACCTTCAACAGACAGGACCTGCTCTTCATCGCGCCAAACTCTTTAATGGTTTGTGGCGAGTCATTCACCTTGACTTATTTCCACGTGCTGTCAGAGAGATTACTGGAGCTGGCTGGGAAAAGGAGCACAATGCCAGTACATATGCCAGGTCTGGGCAGCTGACAATACCCCAGCCCAGCAAGATTACACAACGTCTGGCAAGACGAACGGAACTAGACGCGACTCTGTTGGATGTGCTCGGTCAGAAAAATGAAACTTTGCCAATCTGTATTACTTTCATGTATTTCTCCAAAAAACAACARCAAAAAAATGATGACTGGCAAAAGACTGTGTACTGATTTAAAATAGGAGAAGAATGTGGACAAAAACTATTGTTTGGATGATGAGAATTAAGACGACAAGTTGGTGAATAGAAGTAGTTAATATTATTGTATTTCCCATACTAGAAGTTTCTTTAAGAGCAGCTTAGTTTCTCAAGAATGTACAGTACTCCACAGCAACCAGTGACCACGAGGTTCTGGCCATAAAAAATGCACATACACAGCAGCAGTCACAGGCGACACCAGAGTGTAAACGGAGCCTGTTGCTTTACTGGGTGAGGTGGGAACGTGAGAAGTCCCTGGCTTACTGTAACTATGTAACTGTGGTGAAGGAGGGGATTAGAGGAGGAAAGGAACTCCCCTCAGTCTCAGTCCAATCCCCCCAAAGACCAAAAACATCAACGAATCAGTGACTACGATGGGAGTTGGAGTCGGTGTGTTAATGTAGGAGAGGGTAAAACCAGTCACTGATTCAGTGTTTCTGATGTCTGAACAAGTCTCTGAAAACAAATACTTGAACTTGACAGACAAGAGTCAGATTCCTCTATTAATTAAGTTTTGACAGTAATTAGCACATGATTAGTTGCACATGTTATTGGCGCGTATAGTCACTCACCATTTCACAGTACTCAAAAACAAGCAGGAAGGGAACAGCCTCGACGCACTGACCGAGGCACTGGAGGAGGTTTGGATGCTGCAGCACCCTGAAGACAAAACAAGTCTTTGATTTAATGATGATTGGTGGGGTTCTAAGAAAATATTGATACATTGAAATATTGTGATATTTAATTTCCTGATACTGTATCAATTCTCTAAAGAACTGTATCAATTTTTAAGGTTTAATGGGTGGATGTTGTAAGAATGCAATTCTCACTGTTCAGTGTTCTTCTGATTGCATAAATAATGCATGGTGTGCTCTTTATACTGAGTTTTGTCATGATATCATATCACCTAATTCTTACCGATACATAGTCCTAATTGTTAGGGCAGCAAAAAGCTGTAAACACACTTGTGTTCTTGTAAGTGAAGTACATGTTAAATGTTGTGATAAACAAATGAAAGAACCGGTGAATAACTCTGTGAAAATCCTTCACTCAAAGAAATAAATTAAATGAAAAAAAAACATTTACCTGTATGGATCCCCTTGCTGCTGCAGAAAGTCATTTCCTTCCTTGGCGCTTGCATTAGCTTTCAACTCCTTCACCACCACTCTGCTTCCTCCCGGGTCTGTGTAGATTTCACTCAGAATAACCTGTATAAAAGGAAATAAATGAATGTCTGAACACTGAGTATATCCAGTGAGCATCTATTACATGTTTTTTCTTTCTTTCAGAACTGACCAGAAAAAAGAGCCAATATTTTTCTTGCCAGTGACATAAATGACACACACACACATTTTTTCCTTACCTGACCAAACCATCCATGACCAATCTCTTGGATGTAACTCAAACTGTGACGTCCTACTTTAAAGCCAGCGGATGCCTCTGTGACACCAAACACATAAAACAAGTTAATGAAGACCATGCTGACAACCTACAACTTGTTTCGCTCTTATTTTTAACTCACACAATTAAAGGGTTAGGATTTGTTAAAGGTTTGCCTACTGCCTTTCAGGCCAGAGTTTTAAACTAAAAGATCATCTTACGACGAGAGGTGGAGTTCTGATATAAACAGCTGAAAATACTTTGTCTCATTCGTTTAAGTTTTCTGTGATTGTCACAGTATATACCGTACTTCCATCATTGAAGGTAATATTATAAATCAGCAATTAATAGATCTGTTTGAGAGTGTTTAAGTTACCTGTAATGCTGGCAAGAGGTTGGAGATGTGGGGGTCCAGGCAGCAGCACGGGGGACACATCGAGAGTGTAGACCTCGGCTGGAGGATGCATAGAGGGCGTGTCCTCTGCTGGCGGAGTGAAGTCGACCTCATCTTCAAAGTGGTCTTCAAACTCCTACAACAAGAACAATAACAAGTGGGCTTTTTATATTTTAAAAAGTAACATTCACAGACAATCTGTAGAAAGTCACAAAGGATGCACAGTAGAGCTGAACAGTTTCTGACTCACCCGGGTTAAAGAGCAGAATCCTCACTGGATTAGGACTCATAAGGACTCATTAGGACGCGCTTCAATTTTTATTCTCATTCTCCTTATTGTTTTCTTGACTTGTTTTCCTTCTTCACTCGTACCACTTCGTTTCATTTAGTTCTCTTTCATGGTTTGCTTATGCGCACCACTACACCAGAGCAAATTCCTAGTCTGTAACTCGCTTACTGACAATGGCAATAAAGTGTTTCTGATTCTGATTAATCTGAGATCTAAATTAATTTGTGTCCTTGCACAATATGTTGAAAATATATTCTTCATGCAAGATCACTATTGCAAAGTATTACTTTGAAATACCCAAGTGCTATTCATTCATGATGTAGTTATATATTTGGCTAATCTGATGGACTCTCACAGCCCTTGATGCCCACGCCTGGTTTAGATGATCATGGCTAAAAAGTCTAATGCACACTCTGTGTCACTGTGTAGTTAATAAATGAAGTCTGAATTAGAGCAGGTAAAATTGTGCCAACTCTCACCTTAAAGTTGATCTCCCTTTCTTTGCAGCAGGTCACACAGTTCAATACCAGCACAACCAAAGCCACCAGCACCATCAATGACACCACCAAGGACAGGTAGAGAGACACAGACCAAGTGTCCCCTGCGCTTCCGCCTGAAATTACAAAAAGATAAAAAAAAAAAGTGCTGAAGCATCCACTTTTGTAGTTTCGATTAGGACATTATTCTGAAAAGAACAGAAGAGTGCACCTTACAGAACTGTTAGGTTAGACTAGAAATATAAACATTAAGTGGGCTCGGCAGTAACACTAAACTAAAAGCGTGCAGGTTTTTCTTCTCTATCTACCCACAACAAAAAGTTGCTTTCAGCCCAACATCTTCTTGTCCAGCTTCTACTGTTTGTTGGCGTCTTTTGCAATTAAAAGCCACACAAATCTAACTAATTAATAAAACTATATTTTACAAAAACAGCAAACCGGACAAGATTGTCCAGGTTTTCCTCACAACCACCCAACCTCTACCCCTCAGACATTCAGAGACAGCTGGGGGTGGTTTCGCTGGCCCGTTGGCAGCTGATGGTGCAGCAGTGGTTGGCAGCAGGTGTGGGTCTTCTCGAGCGAGGATGCTGTGGCTGGCCAAGCAATTCCAGTTTCAGGTCTGACAACAGCTTTGCAGCCCACTCACTCACTGCAGTTGTTAGCCAGCACACCAATGCTCGTTAGAAAACACGAGCCTCGCGCTTTAGCAAAACCCATCACAAATCTGGAGCATATTTGTTGTGAAAGCTGACAAAGCTAAATAAAAAAGTGTGTGTGCACGTGTGTGTGCGTGTGTGTTGGGGGGGTGGGTATTTTAAGCAGATAAAAAGAGAAACAGGAAATAAACTGGGCACTGTGGGCAGCAAAGGGGGCAGATTTGATGCAAAATTAACAAGAGCTAATAGAATAAATGTGATCCATCATATCGAAATGAGGATTAAGTCAAATTAGGTCAAAATGACCTAATTACATTTTCAGATTCTTAGCTTTAAAAGCTACACTTTGATACGTGGATCATTCTGATATCATCATTAAATCCATATTGATGACTTAATTTGTCTTGTTGGTTATAATAATACATAAATATTTGGTCTGAATCCTACTTTTATGTTATTTTACTGAGGAATTTTTGATGTCCTTATAAAGAAGAAACCTCAAATTGTATGTAAATATTGAGATTTCCCAGCTGAAAAGAAACAAAACTTTGCTAGCTCACAGGGAAAATCTCAAAATTTTAAAGGTGTTTTTCCTCAAAATCAGTTTTTTTGTTGCTACTGTTCAAAAAAGTGCTTCAAAATTTTGTTTTATGATTATATTTCAGACAGTTCATTCAAATGATACATTGATACGGCATTTATTCATTATATTTTGACAAAACACAATTTTTGTTAGCATTTTAGTCAAAACACTATTTGCCTATACAGTATCTCCATATATCACTTTTGGACTTAATCCTCGTTTCGATGTGATGGGTCACAAGTATTTGTGTGTTGTACGGCCATCAGCAGACACCATTTTTAAAAGGTTTAATCATTGTTTTTCTCATTATCCTCACCTTTTCGTGACTCTGGATGCGTGTGGTGGGGGGTACATGTGTGAGAGACAGTAAGCGACACAATCTGCTCCCACACAGCCATCAAGTTTCCTAAATATCACTCCTCATTAACGGAGCCATTCATTTGAAAGTTAGAACTGTTGCTCGCTGGACAGTCAAAGAACATTAAAGTCAAGCCTTCACAACTTTATCGTCTGACTCATTCCGTACAAACATAAATTTTCTTCTCACTTGAAAAACAGCTGAATGCACTTGCTTGATTTATATTTTGCAAATGCATGAAATGTAAAAGCAATCTCAGTCCACTGCAGCACATCTCAGCATGATATGTGAAACATGACAACTGCAGTCAGTTCTTAAACAACCTACAGCTACAGGATTCCTTCTGCAAACAACTCAGTGTGAAGATGTGCAATGAAGGAACTGTCTGAAATGAAATACTGATGAGATGAAGAATTAAACTTTAAACAGGTCAACTGACACAAACAAATGCTACTGAATTTACAAAGCTGGTTAATTCAAGCATTTCATGGTTTGAAGTTTGGATGTAAATGAGGGTCAAAGGAGTATAAGCAAAAACTACTAAAACCTTAGAGAAAAGTAATAATATAGAAAGTTATCTCAGATGTCAAGGTTGATTTAACGTGTGCAAAAAATATTAATAGAACAGTTACAACTACAGCGCACTAAGTTTTGTTAAAGCCTAACTACATCCTGACCTCTGGACGTGAAACATTACACTTAATGATCCAGAAAGAGCAATCCTGACTCATARCCTCGTGACTTTTAAAGCAAACAGGTTGTGAGGAAGTTCAGGACTCCCAGAAAAGGCCATAACAGTAGTAAGACAGGGGGCAAACAGCAGCTAAGCCACAGCAGCTCTACACAAGGATCAGTTCTGTCTCTGCTAGGATTTTAGGCTTTTGATTCCAACTTTGCAGGCCCCACCAAATGACTGAACTGTTGGTTTTTTTGGGGGGGGGACAAGTGCAACAGGGGGCTGCCATGTTTTATTTCGGTTGTGCTGCATATTTCAGTAGGCATTCTCACAGAGGAGGAGCTGACCCACTTTTTATAGGTTTTTCAACCAGTTTGGAAAATGAAATTAGTGAATCTTTGTACTTCATTCTCAGGAAAATAAATTACATTGACTGAAATGTTTCAAATCCAGCTAGCAGACTCAGTCAGTAGTAATGTCCACTTTTCTCTCAAAGAACTAAGGGATTTAAACACATCTTGTGTTTCTGCTGTTAAAAAAATAATTTAAATGACATTGTTTGACCTTCCCACTTGTCTGTTTTGTAGCAAACTTCAACATGGATTTTACCATAACTGTAGTGAAGACAAAACCTTTACAGGAAGTGGACGTTTATTTCCTGACAGCAACATAAAGGTGTAACAAGCATCATATTGGGGGGTGACGGTAACTAATTAAAASTACCGGAGTGTTAAAACAAACAAGAAAGAATAACAGAGTTTTGTCTTTAAGCGCCGATTTATGCAGGCCAAAAAATGAGATGGAAAAATTGCAGAGTAATAAAACCATAAAAGTTCGCTTATTTTACAGCACTGCTTTCCTGTAACACTGGATTACGATTACGCAAACAACCCTGTAACTAATCATTGACTGGTGATAAGACTGGAATATATTGCAGTTTCGCTGACTCACCMTTTACAATTTACACTTAGAAATTAGGATTTCACAAGACAGAATATWCAGGAACCAAAGTGACTGAGCTTCTCCCAATGGGAGAAACTTCTGACTACATTTCTGGAATTACGGTAGCAAGTAATGATTATCAAACTGATTTATAAATCCCTAAAAATCATATAACTGGTCAAAAACGAACTTGTTGCATAAATTGACTTGTTGCAAAAACAAAAAATTTCCCCTTGGTTACTAAAACATATGTGAGCATTATTTTGTGTCATTATTAGGTGATTTCTCATTCTGTTTTTATTAAATGGTTATATCGAGCGTTAGTGTTGTAATCACACAAAATGTTTTTAATGAAATTGGCTCCTGACAAATTAGAAAACAGCTTGCTTTTGTMAATACACATTAAATCAATTGGAAAACAATTGAATACATTCAATCATACATGCATACAATCATCCTACTCATGACAAGCCTCGTGATGCAAGTAAATAAAGGAAGTGCTATAAACATTAAAGAGGTTATTCAAGGTTTATTGAATAACCTCCTCTAATAATTTCCATTACAAAATTGAATAATTATAGGTTTATTGAAATTGTTTCTAGCCTTATTCAAGGCTAGAAACAATTTCACCATGCTGGTAGGCAAACATCAACTCTGCTTTGCCATAAACTTGGTTATAAAGTTAGGTAAAAAGAAAAATTTATTTACTTCATCACATTTTTTTAAATCAATCTAAAATCAATTATGGTGAAAAACAAAATATAATCAATTTTAATTCCAAAGTATTTCAGATTTGAACTGAAGTTTTAAGAATTAAAACTTTTTATCTAAAGACTAATTAATTATATGAGAATATCCATAAACAAAATGTTGTTTATAACTTTATTATCCAAACTGTGATGTATGTTACCCTAGATCTTTACTAATGTGTGGGTTTGCTGACAGTCTCACTCTACCTGAGCTTTAACACAGCTGCCTTCAGTTAATAAATGAGACGTACTGCCTTCAGTTTTGTCTTAAACGTTGTGTAAAATAAGCTCAGTTAACTTRGGCTCAGTGATACTCTGCCACTGTGAATGAATGTCCATCCCATCACACTGCCTTTATACATTACATTACATACTTGTTTCTGCCATTTTGGTGCAGTTTGACTTTCATCTGGTGCATTAGTTAGTGGCCTGACTTATTAAAAAGTCTTTAGTTCATTCTAATATTTCCATTTATGGGAAGTGTTCTTCAGCAGAACAAGAAAATCACCATCTACCAAATACACGGATGGATAAGATAATATTTATTTGGACTTTGTTAGTCCCTGTGGTGTAATAATGAACAAGTCTTTCTTTGGCAAAATGGGTAATAACTCTGTAACAAAATACTTGCAATTCTAACTGATGAAAAAAAAAGAATAATTAAATAGATTTTACCATTTGTTAAAATAGAATGTATTGATAAGCTGTAGTTCCTAAACTCCTCATGAAATTTGAAGGTGAGGACTTGAGAGAGACCTACACACTTTGAAACGACAACCAAACATAACTTCAGCTTGAATAAATGCAACAATTTGCAAGTTGTGAGTGTAACTTTTTTAATATGATCTAATACAGACAGGTATAAATAAAACTGGACCAACCTCATTAGGTTAGCATGCTTGTACTTGACGGCACCAAGCTGTGATAAATATTTAAAACCCTGGCACTTGCTGGTAAATATCCAACAGTGATGAAGTAGAATCCATTACAAAGTCCCCCCCTCCCCCCCACCCACCCCCATGTGAACAGGTTGAGCAAGTTTGTTTATGATTAGCTTCCCAGTTTGCCATTTAGCCGAGTCGTGACTTTGACGTGTAGTTGCTTTCCAATAAATTGTTTAAATATTCACCTTTACAGACAGAAAATAAAAGCTTATCCCATTACACTGTGACCAAATCACTGCAAAGGCACAGGCTTTAAATTAGTAAGAAACAAGTCAAGTTTGGTGTTAGCTTTTAGCTATCTGTTAGCAGCGGTTATTCATTCCAGCAAATGCTAGCTAAGAGGTCTTCCTAATATGGACAATATAATCAGAGAATTTATTATGCAACAGTGTACTGAACTCATCATGGGTTGACTCACCTGATCTGTAAATATACTGAAGAGGAGCAGCTTCAGAGACCCAAAATGCCGACAGAAAAATCCCACTGACCAGCAACAACACAGACCCACGGTGTCTCTCCATACTCCTGGCTGACTCAAAATGTTAGCCAAATAAAATCTTCGTCCAAATAACTGGCAGATATGACACCGAATAAAGTGTTTTAACCATTGATACTGAGTTTAACATCAGCGTAGGCTACATAGACACGCATACTTTCGGCTGGCTTAGCCGCTTGCTACTCGCCAGCTAACTGGCTCCAGTTAGCATGGAGGGCTAACAGTTTCAGCTGACGACAGCAAACACAGCCGCGACATGTATCGTCCCGTTGTCCATGGAGAAAAAACAGCCATCACCTTTCACGGCCTGTCATTTTAGGTGAACGCATCCAGATGTCACTGAAGTGAACACAGCTATGAATATTTTAATCAATAGTCCTCGCTATCATGAAAACACCTCTCCTCCAAAGCGCCATGTTCCTACAACGTCACGTCACGAAATGAGGCGTGAAACTTCAAGTGATTGACAACTATCTAAACCAATCAACACGAAGATATCCTTGGGATTTAATTTACACAGCCAATCAGCTTCGGGGTTTATTGCCAGTCAAGTAAATCCAGTTATTTGTATCAGAGCTGCAGAATGTCTTTTTTATGGGATGAATGCAAYGGAAGACGACCATCCAACATAAATTGGTTATTAATTAATTAATAACTAATACCTTAATAATTTACATACAACCGTATGACTGATACTAATACAACTGGCGCAGAGATGCAGGCTTTCATTTGTATGTTTTGTTTTTGTTACTTTTGTTGCTTCACTCAATTTTCATTGCTTATGTCTATTGAAGTTATACTCTATATCAGTGGTTTTCAAACTTTCTAGCTGCAAGCCTACAACATAACAGTTGCAGAAACTACATATATAAACTGCTAATAACACTGTTAAACCAAGCTTAATTATAATGTAAACAAACCTCCTAATTGTAATACTGCTTTCATGAATGTAATATTATTGTAATTTTATTTATTTATTTGCAATAATTAATGTGAGAATATTTCAGTCACTTAAATTGATGTCTAGAAATCATCTGGGGAGCCTCATTTGATGCTTTATGACCCACAGACCAATCTCAATCCCAACTTTGGGGACCACTGATTTATCAGATAACAGATAATATAATCAGAATCAGAATTGCTTTATTGTCATTCACACACAACATCAGCAACAGCAACAGAGATGCAACAGCAACAGAGATGCAACAGCAACAGAGATGCGATGCAGAATTAAATTTGACTGGATATTGACTGGACAGGGGTCTGAAACCTATAATGATAAAAAAAAATGAAGAAAAATATATTTTGTACCTTTTCCCACCAGATAAAATTTGTTTATAGCTGCCAAATCTAGAATTTAAAGGCTCAATTCAATTAAGTTTCAATTCAGTTTACTTGTATAATGCCAAGTCACAACAATTGTTGTCTCAGGGCACTGTACACAAAAAACAATAAATCTAAAGGCTCAGAATTCTGTGGAGGAATCTGATGCACCATGTCGCTTAGCACTGCCAACCACCACCAGGCTGGTTGATTCTAAGGACAAAACCCCCCCAAACACAAACTGAGTGGTATGGTGTATGTAGGGTAGAACTGTGAGGAATGTTCAGATCTCTACAGCGGGTAAAATAAGTATTGAACACGTCACCATTTTTCTCAGTAAATATATTACTAGAGGTGCTAATGACATGAAATTTTCAACCAGATGTTGGTAACAACCCAAGTGATCCATACATACAAAGAAATCAAACCATAAATGTCCAGAAATGAAGTTATTTGTAATAATGTGGAATGGTACAGGGAAAAAGTATTGAACACRYTTACTGAAGTTTATCTAATACTTTGTACAAAAGCCTTTGTTGGCAATGACAGCTTCAAGACGCCTCCTGTATGGAGAAACTAGTGGCATGCATTGCTCAGGTGTGATTTTGGCCCATTCTTCCACACAAACAGTCTTCAAATCTTGAAGGTTTCGTGGACCTCTTCTATGAACTCTGATCTTTAGTTCTTTCCATAGATTTTCTGTTGGATTCAGGTCAGGTGATTGGCTGGGCCATTCCAGCAGCTTTAGTTTCTTTCTCTGAAACCAACTGAGTTTCCTTGACTTTGTGTTTGGGCTCATTGTCTTGCTGAAATGTCCAGCCACGTTTCATCTTCATCATCCTGGTAGATGGAAGCAGATTTTTTATCAAGAATGTCTCTGTACATTTTTCCATTCATCCTTCCTTCAATTATTTGAAGTTTGCCAGTACCATATGCTGAAAAACAGCCCCACACCATGATGTTCCCACCTCAAAACTTCACTGTTGGTATGGTGWTTTTGGGCTGATGTGCAGTGCCATTTGACCTCCAAACATGATGTGTATTCTGGCATCCAAACAGTTCAATGTTGGTCTCATCTGACCAGACTATATTCTCCCAGTATTACACAGGCTTGTTTAAATGTTGTGCAGCAAACTTTAAAGGAGCTTCAACATGCTGTTTCTTCAGCAGTGGAGTCTTGCGTGGTGAGCGTGCATACAGGCCATGGTGGTTCAGTGCATTACTTATTGTTTTCTTTGAAACAATCATACCTGCTAATTCCAGGTCTTTCTGAAGCTCTCCACAAGTGGTCCTTGGCTCTTGGACAACTCTTCTGATAATTCTTTTCAATCCTCTGTCAGAAATCTTGTGAGGAGCACCTGGTCGTGGTCGGTTTATGGTGAAATAATGTTCTTTCCACTTCTGAATTATGGCCCCAACAGTGCTCACTGGAACCTTCAGAAGTTTAGACATTCTTCTGTAACCGATGCCATCATTATGCTTTGCAACAATAAGGTTGTGAAGGTCTTGAGAGAGCTCTTTACTTTTACCCATCATCAGATGGTTCTTGTGTGATACCTGGCCATCATTTGGGACTGAACCAGCTGATATTAACTTGCACTGACAAGGGGCAGGCTTGCTTTCTAATTACTGAGAGAGTTCAGCTGGTGTCTTGGCTTTCCATGCCTTTTTACACCTCCCTTTCTTCATGTGTTCAATACTTTTTCCCTGTACCATTCCACATTATTACAAATAACTTCATTTCTGGACATTTATGGTTTGATTTCTTTGTATGTATGGATCACTTGGGTTGTTACCGACATCTGGTGAAAATTTCATGTCATTAGCACCTCTAGTAATATATTTACTGAGAAAAATGTTGATATGTTCAATACTTATTTTACCAGCTGTACATTAGAGAAATTAAACATCATTAACCAGGTATTTTTGAGAAATTTATAAATAAAATGAGCAGCTTTATTCAAAAATCCTTGCACATACACGCAGCCTTTCACAATTTTTTAATTGTTTCTGCTKCTCAAAGCTTATAAAAGTAACTGAACAGAGGCCGAAGAGCCAAACTCTGCTTTTCAGTAACATTTTGGTCAACTGAGACGTTTCTTTTTAAACGCTAGACGTTAACTCTGTTTTGACATCTTAATATGAACTCGTTATGTCTGCAATGCAAGATGACAAAACAGTAGGCCTATGAATGACAAAAATTATCTGCTCTGAWTAACTGATGAAGCAAGCGGGGGAGGAGGCATTCTGCAGAGTAAAGGAAATCTCCCCGGGTTTGAGGGCAGATACGTCAGGTTGCTTCTTACAGTCTGGATCACAAATCTGCAAGAGAGACTCTGTGAGTTCAGCACAAAGCGTGAGAGAGAGGCAGACATCTGCACATCATCTGCTCCAAGAGTATAAGTAAGCTCACGCGCAGCACGGTGAGTCTCATCCTTTTAGTACATTTATTGTGCGATTTGAAGTTGAACATAGTAAATGTAAGTGTTTCTTTGTTTTTTGACAGGTGAAAACAGAATACTAAATTTGAGATTTCTTTGTAAATGTTTATTTGCTCAATTTACATTTTTTAAAGAAAGCAGTTGTTTATTTTATGCATCTGGTTTATTTAACATAATCCAGCAAGACTTGAGCTTCATTTCTGATCATATTTACCAGAAACACAAGTTCTAACTAGGTTTTTTTTCTAACACAGACTCTTATCTGATAGTAAAACCCCTCCACCTGCACCAGTTTGAGTCACTGTCACTTTGTGTTTCTTGCTCGTACATGTTCCTGTGCATCCCTAAGGCAGCCTCAGAGGACCATGGCATTTGCAGGGATGCTGAGCGACGAAGACATCAAGACTGCAGTCCAGGCTTGTCAAGGTGAGTCGGACAAGACACACAAATGCAAGCAGATGCATAAACAAGCATCTGATCACACAAAAAGGTGCAAATGTATATGTGACAGGGAAGGAGGTAAAGTCATTCCTGTGGGGGATCTGTTGCGTGTTGAGTTGCTCACTGTGGGAACGCGGCTGCTGCTGGTTACCTGGCACACATTTGGCAGGAGACCAGTTACCAACCAGATACACCAAAGAGTTTCCATTCATTGTTCTAAGACAGGTGGCCAGATCACACAAGCTGAGCAAGTCCTGGCGTGCCGAGGGATTCAATTATTTATCTTTAGCAATTATGTCTGCATGGCGTGGCATACAAAGCTCAGTCGTTTGCGCCAATGAGAAGAAAATGTCAGCAGTGATTTGCCCTTTATTCAAGAGAAACCTGCCTGTTGGGAATGTTTGAAGCGAAACAATGTTCAAACCTTATGTGGGGTTTGCATTGTTCTGCACATCAGTAAAACATTGAAGATTTACTGTAGTTTGTGTTTAAACTTTAAAGGTCTCCTGTCTTCCCATCAGAGTCTAAAGCTCTGAACTGATTCAGTCATTGTGCAAATTCTCTTTAAATCATCCGTCTTAGAAGATTTTTCACTTGGGGAGTAAAGAGCTTTCTGCACTCATGTTTGCGTTGGAGCCTTGGGGGCAGATTGGGCTGTTTCARCAGCGTATAACATAGGGCCAGGATGTGCCACAGAGTGTATATTGGTAAATGTCGTCAGCTGAAGAATGCAAGTCATCTGAGCGAATGACTAAAAGCGACATCTCTATTCAGACCCCCACCATTCTTCCTTTCTTGTCATTCAGTGATTGACCCCTCGCTCCCACATGTGTCCGTCTTCTCTCCCTCTCTGCCGCTGTAGCTCCGGGCGAGTTCGACTTCAAGCTGTTCTTCTCACAAGTGGGACTGGCGGGCTCGTCTGAGGAGGACAGGCAAAAAGTGTTTACAGTCCTGGACCAGGACAAGAGCGGATACATCGAGGAAGAGGAGTTAAAGTGAGGATGGCTGTGTGATGCTGTCAAACAGATGAATCCACATATAATGGATAAATGATGAGAATTTTCATCCCTTTTCTCACTTTAAATTAAAACGTCACAGTGTAATTTGGGTTGTTTACCCTAATTTTAAAAGAAGTTTGCTGAAAGCTCAACACAAACCTTCTTTTTTCTCTCAACTCCATTAATATCCCTTTTATAAACAAACCAAACAAAAAGGCCTAGTTTCTCCAAGATAAAAGTTTTGTTTCATTTCAAATTGAATGAATGTTTTTCATTGAAATACCCCCTAAAGCTATGATGAATGTTCACATATATTCACGCACACTTTTTTTAACTTCTTTTAGATTGTTCCTTCAGAACTTCTGCTCCGAGGCCAGGGAGCTGACTGTGGCTGAAACTAAAGCTCTGATGGCTGCAGGGGACAAAGACGGGGATGGTAAAATCGGGATGGAAGGTACCTGCACATAAAATATGTAAAACTGATTGGCAGATGAAATAAACATACAGTTGAACAAAAGTAAAAAAAGATAATTACTGTTTTTGTTGGATGTCATTGCATGACATTTTACTTCAATTTTGCAGAAAAATAATTCTTTTTTTTGTGTGTGTCTGTTTTCCTCCACAGAGTTCTGTGATCTCCTAAATTAAAAACATTAAACACAAAAGACCACAGCTGTGTCTTTTTCATTTTTCTTTTATTTGTTTTTGAACAGGGAGTTAATTCATACAGAATTTGACTTTCCAGTTAGGTTGATGAATAAAAACGAGCCCGTATATTACCTGCCTGCTTCTCTGCCCTTTTTATGATGAAGATGATGGATTGCCAAATGGCCAAAACTGCATCCAGAATATGTACCTACTTATGAAATGTGTCTCAATAAATTTACTTAAGTTGTAATTTCCATGTCTTGTGGTCTTTTTACTCCCATTCTTTACTGGAGACTTTGATAAATGTTTGATTTCATTCGTACACTTTCACTCCCGTCTCTTTGAGGATCCTTGAAGGCTCAGTTTTTTCAGATACGGTAAATAATTCAAAATCCCTACTTTTTTTTATTGCAGATGATTTTTTTAAGGCTTGCCACATTAATTAGCCAGTTAACAATGTGTTCTGTGACACAACTTTGTGGCTCTACAGAACCTGTGTGTTCGCTAAAGTTAAATTACACTCTGAAGGTAAATTACAAACAGAGGTGTATGAAGTACTTGGAAAACAAATAACTAAGTAGAAGTACTTTAACAGAAAACAACTTTGGTTAAAAGTAATTTCACCTATAAGAAAAATCCTTCAGCAAAATTCTAAATACTGCTCACAATGATATTGAAATTAAAAGTACTTTACATCTCCTTTCGTGATGAGTTCAGGTTCTATTTAAATTTGTAGCRTGTAGTCAGGTGTAAAATTTTCTAATATAAAAGTAGAAGTTTCCTTTTTATGTTTTGAATGTAACAAAATAAAAGTAAAAGTTACAATTTAAATAAACACTTGTTAAATTTGCAGGTCCTCAAATAAACTACTTAAGTACTTAAATGTAACAAATTCTAGAGCTTTTAAAAGAGCTCAGCTTAATTACTTTTCCATGTAAAGTGTTATAATTGTACATTTATGAATAAATATGCTGTCTTACATTAAGTTTAACTGTTTTTTGTCATAAGTTTTTTTTTTATGATGTAGACCCCAGGAAGAGTAGCCATTGTCACAGCAATGGCTGATCCAAATAAACAAATTGTTACAGTGTACCTCTGAAATCGTACTGCCACCAAAGGGACTTCACATGTTCATAACAGATAGAAAATAACTGGGATGCAGGTTTATTGATGCAGAACATCTTCCATCTCAAAAATAGCTTTTATCAAGTAAAATCACTAAACCTAATTACAGTTTTCTTTACTTATTCCTATTAAAACCTTCATGTACAAAAAAACCGCATACAATTTTTCTCTTGTTCAAACTTCCTAAACTGGTTTTAGGTGGGAGGTTCTCTAATTTCTGTTGATCCAGGTAGAAATATTCATTATTACTGCAAATAAAAGTACAAGAGAAAGAAAACGAGTTCAACATTCTGAGAATTTATTATTTAATTAGACATTATACAAAACAATTATACAATCAGGTACATAGTTCTCAAATACGTATTAAGCAGATTAAAAAAAGAAAAAAAAAAAGGAAAAGGAGTCACCAAACTGCCGACTTGCTCATTCACACACTCAAGGTATGCAAAAATAGTCCTGATGATTGGTACATTCCCAACTAAGGACAGGGGTCTGGTGGTACAGGCCCCAAAGTCCTGTCCCTGTTAGGGTGCTGGCACATTTGAAACTTGACCCACAGCTGAGGAGGTTCTATGAAATGTAAAGATACTGTACCTTGTGCTTTGGGTACATTCATGTTATGGGAGAACACAAGCCGAGGCTGCACATATCTGAGACCACCTCAGATGGTGTTGCAACTACATTCCTTCTACAAAAGCAAGAATGAACTCGTAAAAACCAGCAAAATAAACAGAATTTATGGATGAATGAAAAGAGAAACAAAAATAACAGCTAGAAACAACATATGTATTCAATATTTATGCAATAATAATCATAAAATCTAAGGCCTTGATGCTCACTCTTATTATCCCAACCTTGAATAAAGAGTTTAACCCAGACCTGCACCCGCAGGCATCTATTTAATCCACAGACCCAGATATATGTATAAACTGCAACATCAAAATCAGCATTTTGGGAGWTGTCTGTAAATCATAAAAAGTGTGACATGTGGCAATGAGCAGCAGGTCTGCTCAGGTTTCCACACATCTAGCTATAGGCCTCAGCACACATGGTAGCATCCTCATTTGTTCACCTAAAAATAGGTCCAGACCAGTAGACACATTTTTTTGAAACTCGCGCATCTTGGTACCTGATACTGAAACTCAAAGCTCTGTAAATGGTGTTGCTCAAGGATATATAAGCAAGAGGGGAACGGGCCTTTTGGCATTCACTCGAGTCCTCCTTGGTTTTCACTCGCCTCAACGCAGCTCCAAGGTGAGTGGGATGCTACACGACTTCTGCAGATTGCACTGGGAGGAAAGGAGAAAACAGGACTCAGAAAAGGAGATCGATGAGGACTATCAACTGTAGGAGAAATGGAATCAACATAGCCAATAAATATATGGACTGCAGGACAATTCAGTTTACACTAAAGAGGGCCAAACGTTACAGTTTGATGTCAGAGGATCAACGTTTTTTTTTTTTTGAATGGCAATTGGTTTATTTCACTTATGCCTTTTGATGGGAAGAAAAATCTGGCAGCATCTGTCTTCAGCTGCAGTGTTCGTTTACAGCAAGTTGTGTTTCTGAGCTTCAGCCTCTCAGCAGGAGCATCAGTGCTGTAGTGCAGTTGCAGGCTAACAGATTGAAAWATCCAAAGTCACCCCTGGGATCCAGCATCCCTGGGCAAAGAGAAACCCTTTAGCCAGTTGTGAACGCAGCTGATAAATGTTAAGAGTTTAAACCGAAAGCTAGATGCATGACTTTAACCCTAAAAAGCTACAATTCTGTATAAATTGGGATCATTTCAACAGAACAGACTGCATGGATTTAATCATTTAGGCTGGCACTGAATGTTTTGCAATAATTCAAAGCCGTTCAATCCTGCTCATCCTGACTCTGCTTTGTCTCGTAGCTCACTAAGAATATAAAAAAATGGCCTTCTCCGGTGTCCTCAATGATGCTGAAGTGAAAGCTGCCCTGGACGGCTGCTCAGGTGAGCTTATTTCAATTTACTTCTCACGTTCTCTTTATTATTTTTCACACATTCTCGATGCAACATGAAGTTATCTACCAGGAAAGTTAAACAAACTGGTTGCAARTTGTATGAAACCCAACTAAACCCTACAGGTGTAAACCCTTCACGTGGGGTCAGTTCAGACTTGTTTACTGATGAGGGTCAAAATGTGTGTTTCAGCTGCTGACTCCTTCGACTACAAGGGCTTCTTCAAGACATGCGGCCTGGCCGCCAAGTCCTCCGATGAGGTGAAGAAGGCCTTCGCCATCATTGACCAGGACAACAGCGGCTTCATTGAGGAGGAGGAGCTGAAGTAAGACATTCCTCTTAAACGGTTTGGGAGAGAAATATCGCCTGAACATAGAAATTCTAAAGTACGCAGCTAAGCTTAGATTCAACTGTTTTGCTTTAGTTTTGAGGCATAATTTTTACTTCAGCAACCRTTTTTAGGAACCAGCGTAGTTTATTTCTTCACCACATCCAATTCTACTAAATTTATCAGAGTAAATTCAGTAAATTTCCCCAGAAAACAGCCTTGTTAGGGAAATAGTACTTTGACTCTTAACTTTTAGAGTGTTGAGGGAGAACTGAACACTTATAACTGACAGTTTAGTAGAATTATGCACATGCAGGAACAAAAGCAGATACATTTGTCTRACCACAGATATGTAGTATAATTTTCCATGCAGCTGAGGAGAAGAAATATACATCAGTGACTCCATTGCCTGCATCTCAGACTGTAAAGGGGAAAAAAGCATGGCTGAAATATGCTTTAATAAAGATCAAAAATATCTGTTATTTAACGTGACCTGAAGATTTTAGGACCTGCTTGTTCACACATTCCTTTTGACCCAACAAGTGTGCCAAAGGGGGGTTGAAAGGCTGCWCAAAGCATGTGTAGCATCATGTAARCTTTGCTGTTTTGTCTCCTTTTCAGGCTGTTCCTGCAGAACTTCTCTGCTGGTGCCAGAGCACTCACCGACAAGGAGACCAAGGCTTTCCTGGCCGCTGGTGACAGTGACGGTGATGGCAAGATCGGAGTTGATGGTAAGAGTTCCTTTAAGGTCTACACAAAACAAAAAAAAAAATGAAAATATATCCTACAGATATTATCATTTGCTCACAGCAAAACCTGCAACTCTTGGTCAGAGAATAGATTGATATTCCCAACATTTCCTCCACCACTAATGGCAGTTTCATTCTACTTTCACAGAGTTTGCTGCCCTTGTAAAGGCATAAATTCCCACTGACCAAGACCCACTTCTGCGAACTCCTTTCAAGATTCACTTATCATCAGCTGTTTGAATATTTTTTTATACCTTATTTATGAGTTGCCTGCGGACTATTTCTCAACATGGAAAGCACAATATTACTGTGAATGTCACCCAGATGTGTTTTATGTTCAGAAATAATGACCTTGTGCAAAACTGTACCACTCCTCTTGCACTTTTGAGGAAGAGTGAAAAACCAGGAATAAATACTCATTTGGTGTGAAGTCGCCTCGTGCAGCTCAGTCATCTTTTTGCATTGGTGTGTTTTTGAAATCGACACAACGGGTTGATTGAGACGTCGTATCGAGTGGTTCCGAGTGCTGAGAGACGCCTCGGGTGACTTTCCCAGCACTTGTCCTCATAATTGGTTAATGAGAAGTAGTGGGAGGGTAGCATGGTGGACCTGAGCCAGGAGTAGGAAAATGTGCTGGGAACCACCCCCAGGGGGCTTTGCTCACAWGCATTCTTAGATCCAATGAGCCTTGCAGAGGATAGCTGCCACACTTTGTGTAATTAGATGGTCCAGACCAAGATCTATTTGTCCAACAAGTGCTGCGTAATCAGCTAGATGTTCTGTGGCAACAGGGTGGCTATTAACAGCCTCCTTTTCAGCAAGACCCTCTATTCTGAGGTGTCCTTAGCAAGCTGCTCCACCAATTAATGCTGTTTCTTTGCTGCGCTCGGACCACAGCACATTTTCTAAGAAACCCGTGGGCCTTGAATGGAATTCAATCAGCCCATTTGTCATGTTAAAGTCAAAACATCAGATTACAGCTCCACTGAATGTCCAGAGCTATGCAAGTCAGCAATATGCAAACTCTCAGCCTTATCAGATGACACCCTAATCTTGTCTCTGTC